TTCTTGGTTCTTGGTTCCCGGGGGGGTGGTCTGCATTAAACTTATATTTTTAAATGCAGTTTTAAATGCAGCCCCAGGAACCAAGATTCCAGAATCAAGAGTTCTGGGCATCTTGGTTCTTGGTTCTTGGTTCCTGGGGGTGGTCTGCATTTAACTCAAATTTTCAAATGCAGTTTTTAAATGCAGCCCCAGGAACCAAGAACCAAGAATCAAGAGTCCTGAGCATCTTGGTTCTTGGTTCTTGGTTCCTGGGGTCTGCCCGCATTTAACTCAATTTTTTAAATTGCAGTTTAAAATGCAGCCCCAGGAACCAAGATTCCAGAATTAAGGGTCCACCGACTCACTCACTCTTTGCTTACAAGCAAAGGGGGGGGGAAGGGGGAGGGTACCAGGGTCTTCCACATAGCCAAGACCCCTAAACACCACCCGCCCCCCCCCCCCCCCCCCCCCCCCCCCCCCCCCCCACCCCGCCCTCCCCTTCCCTCAGCTCCACTGCGGGCTTATTCTCTAACACCTATTGGTTTAGGGGTTTAGAGTTTCAAATCAGAAGCCCCGAAACCCTTTCGGGTTCTTTTAACCCTATATGGTTAAGGTTTAAAGGTTTAGGGTTTAAGACTTAGGCATTTACACATAAGTCTGCAAGTGAACCTAAACCTTTAAGCTTTGAACCCTATAGGTTTCATGTTTAAAGGTTTAGGGTTTAAGATCTATTAGGATTAACACCTAAGCCCATAGAGTCCAAACCTTAGGGTTTAAGGTTGAGGCATTTGAACCGTTTGGGGTTTGAACCCTCAAACCCTATCGGGCCCAAAAGGCTCAAAGGTTTTAACCCCAGAGGGGCTGAAGGTCTACATGCCCAGACCTTAGGTTTGTAAACCATTACAGCCTATAGGGTTAAAAGGTTCAGAGTTTTTGTGCAGCGTTTTTTCTCTAAAACCGTCACGGGGTTAGCCCTATCGGGTTTAAACTCCCTAGGGGCTAAACTCCCTATTGGCTCAAGGTTTAGGCAGTACCTAGGAGTAAAACCTAGGTTTAGGCGTTTAAACCTTAGCCCTCAACTCTGTAGGGTCTGAACTCTCAAACCCTACAGGGCCCAAAAAGGCTCAAAGGTTTTAACCCCATAGGAGCTGAAGGTATACATGCCCAGACCTTAGGCTTGTGAACCATTAAACCCTATAACGTTGAAAGGTTTAGGGTCTTTTTAGGGTTTATCTCTAAAACCGTCACGGGGTTAGCCCTATAGGGTTTAGACCCTATAGGGTTTACAAGTTTCGGGTTTAAGGTATAGGCATTGTCTATAGGAGTAGAACCTTATAACCCTGAAGGGCTTGAGGCTTAAATCCCTAAACCTCAAATCCCGTAGGGTTATGCCTCTGTTTGCAGGGCTTGCCTCCTGCGAAAATGCAAAGAGAAAGTAGAAGAAGTACCCACATCATGTATGTATATAGGGTACAAGTATTGTATCTCAAACACATATAATAAAGAAGGCAGAAGGTGATGCACAAAAAAATCATCTGCTGTAAGTGCCAGGGACGCGAGAATACTGTGAGCAAATATGTTTTAACTAGTCCCTGAGACCGCCAGAAGTTGTTTAGATACTTTACGGTTGTATTTTTGTTTTTCAGGGTGCTTCAGGTGGTTGTGTGCTGTTATGTCTCAATATAGCGAGGGTTTAGGGTGGTTTTGAGTGAAAGACTAGTGAAAGGGGTACGTACGCCAGAAGTTTTTTTTAAGATTCTTTACTGGTGTGTGTTTTTTTCAGGATGTTTCAGGTGGTTGTACGCCTCGTCAGGAGAAAGAGAAAACATGCTGCGGGAACTGTGTTGTCTATTGGAAGTCTCGAAAACGGTGGATCTCTTTTTTTTTTTTTTTTTTTTTTTGGGGGGGGGGGGGTAGCATTTATATTGAAAATTAAAATTCAAAAGTATACATTATACATACACGAATAAAGAATCATAGGTTAATATCGTACTATATAAATATGTCAATATTAGAACATCATCATGTAACAATATACTCATATACTAGAATACCAAAATATGATAATCTACTTGTCAAACAGTATAACCATTTCATCTAACAGTTGTATAATACAATAATATCACAATTCTAGAATACAACAATATGTATGATGACAGTGTAATAACATGTTATATTCGTATCATACACTAATAAGATCTTATTGGAGCAAGAAATGTCGTCGTTTACAAATATCAAAAATACGAATGCACTATTGTAATATACAGTGCTTTTCAAAGCCAACACGTCACGATCGAAATTACCGTATTTTTCAGGAGCACGACATCTGCCAGATGGTAGGTTCCCCGCGCCTGGGGTGTTACCGGAATCGAGCAACTTGCCGTGGGATTGTGCGTTGGGTACCTTGGAATAACATAGGAATAATACAATAATGCAATGATGTAAAGAACTTAAATGCATACCAATACTAGGATACAATTATACAATCATATAATACTATGATAATGGACATGTACAAATGAATACATATATATATAAGTACATATATGTGCCGGTACACAAATATAAGCTCAGACAGTACTACAGTACTATAAGAACATGATAACATAGTAAGCGTGCCCTTGTACACCAGTCCACTTGGAGGTTCATGGGACTTAGTAACCCAATCATAACTATACTTCTACTAACCCATATTAGGGCACTTAAAGGGCTGATAAGTGGGTTTCTAAGAACAGACTAATTTGTTTTTGAGTACCCTAAATCCTAACCCCTAATCCCTAAGCCTAAACCCTAAACCCTAAACCTAAACCCTAAACCCTAAACCCGAAACCCCAAACCCTCAAGTACACAAGTCTCAGGTGTGCTGCCGGCCCTTGTCCGAGAGCTCACTGAGCGTGAAGGTCCTCAGCAACGCCGGCCTTGGCAAGGCGGCCGAACTCCTAGACCCTAAACCCCAAACCCTAAACCCTAAACCCTAAACCCTCTCACGCTCTCGCTCTCTCTCCCTCTCTCTCTCGCGCTGCCTCTCTATTAGTTTCACTCTCTCTCTCTCTCTCTCTCGCTCTTTCTCTCTCTCTCTCTCTCTCTTTATTTCTCTCACTCTCGCTCTTTTCCCTTCTACCTTCTCCCTTCTCTCCCTCCCTCCCTCCCAGCCACCCACCCACCCATTTGCGGATGCGAACGCACGTTCTTGAGTTGAGGGCTTACGGGGGCGTCGAGTAGGCGAGGCCAGGTGGGGCTTCCACAAGCCTAAGATTTGGAGTTCAGGGCTAGGGTTTAGGGTTTAGGATTTAGGGTTTAGGGTTAGGATTTAGGGTTTAGGGCTTAGATTGCAGAGACTCCAAAGTCCGTTTAGTAGGAAGATGTTCCTTATGTTCATTATGATGCTCGGTGCGACGAAATATTCCTTAACTCAGGGATATTGGGGCAAACGTCACCGGAAGAAAAGCACCCGGCAAGGCCCCTAAAACCTAAACCCTAAACCCTGAACCCACGAGGGTTTGAGAATGCATCCCTGAAAGGCCCCGAAGATCTAAGGGTAGTTTCATGGGCTTTCAAAGGGTTTAGGGTTTAGAGTTTAGGGTTTAGTAAGGGACCATGTAGCTACCCTTAGAGAAGAAGGTGTGGAGGCCCCTCCCGCGTAAAACAAAACCAAATGTCCAGCACCAAAGCTCCCCGCACTTGCACGCGCATGGTTTAGGGTTTAGGGTTTGGGGTTTGGGGTTTAGGGTTTAGGGTTTCGGGTTTGGGGGTTAGGGTCTAGGGTTTAGGCCAACAACTGTCGGGACCAAACTTTTGGCCAAAGCCCTCGGTCAAATACGCTATTGGGACCAGGGTTTAGGGTCTAGGGTTTAGGGTTTAGGGTTTCGAGAAACCCTGCATGGTCCTTCTGCCTTTCAGGTGTACCTGGGCGCGATGTCGGTGAAGCAGCGGGTGGGAAGCCGATGAGCTGGTTTGGGGTTTGGGGTTTAGGGTTTAGGGTCTAGGGCTCAGGCTACGGGAAATTTCAGGGACGCGCGGGAGCATTGGGCAGCATTAGGTGCGGCTGTTAGGGCTGGAGTTCGGGGGTATGAAGGGGCCAAGTGGAGTGAAGGCCATACTGCCGTACCCTAAACCCGAAACCAGAAGACCTAAACCCGAAACCCTAAACCCTAAGCCCTAAACCCTAAACCCTATAAACCCTATAAACCCCATAAACCCTATAAACCCTATAAACCCTATAAACCCTATAAACCCTATAAACCCTATAAACCCTATACACCCTGAAAAAACCCTATAAACCCTATAAACCCTATAAACCCTATAAACCCTAAACCCCTAAAGAGTCGGCGCTCTCCCAAGGTCTCCCCGCATTTGCACGCGCATGCACGCGCACGTGTACACGTAGCCGTCCAGGCCGACCACCAGGAGATATGGAGTTCTGAACGGGAGGGCGGGTAGGGTTCAGGGTTCGGGGTTCGGGGTTTAGGGTTTAGGGTTCAGGGTTCAGGGTTCAGGGTTCAGGGTTTAGGGTCTAGGGTTCGGGGTTTAGGGTTTTGGGCTTGTTGGGTTTAGGATCCTTAAGGGAGGTGGGTTCAAGGGGGGGTATGTCACCCAAGGTTCCCTTCTACTCCCCACTGCTCCCGAAGGTTCCCTAGGTACCTACCTCCCTTAAAGATTCCAAAAGGGAGCCAGGAGCTAGGGTTTAGGGTTTAGGGTTTAGGGTTTAGGGTTTAGGGTTTAGGGTTTAGGGTTTCGGGTTTAGGGTTTAGGGTTTAGGATTTAGGGTTTAGGGTTTAGGGTTTAGGGTTTAGGGTTTAGGGTTTAGGGCGAGGCCATGGAGGCAGCAGAGTCTGACTCCAGGCTGGGAGAGGCCAGGCATGTGGCCCCACAGTCCGGACGCACAGGCAAGCGCACCCTTAGAGTCCGCGGTCTCGGAGGCCAGGCTGTTGAGGTCGATACTTAGCAGCTGAATGAGTACACTTTACACACATTTTGGGACGAATCCCCTGTAGAGCTAGTGTACACTTGTTTGGGGGCCCATGAAGTCAGCAACTAAGGATGTAGACCCTATGGCAATGGGCTGGGAAGTGGTGGAAGCGATAGCAGCCGAAGTCGGCCGCCCAGTGGAGTCCCTCATGCTGACCTCTGGCGGCAATGTGCTCGATATGAGTGGGTCTCTGCTAGAACAGGTGGGGAACGACGAAGTCACGTACGTGGCTCAACGCTTCGGTGCGGGTCGGGCTGCGGTTGCCTTGAAAAATGCGCTTGCAAAGAAAACCTTCAATCCTGCGGATGTGTGCGCTCTCAATGAAGTAGTCTCCTTGACCTTTGGCTCGGACTTCAACCAGAGCTTGGAGGGGATCCAGCTGCCCAGCACCCTGCAGACGTTCACATTTGGCGACAAGTTCAATCAGAGCTTGCAAGGGATCCAGTTCCCCAGCACCCTGCAGACGTTGACGTTTGGTAGCGAGTTCAACCAGAGCTTGGCGGGGATCCGGCTTCCAAGCACCCTGCAGACGTTGACGTTTGGTAGCCAGTTCAACCAGAGCTTGGCGGGGATCCAGCTGCCCGGCACCCTGCAGACGTTGACGTTTGGCATCGTGTTCAATCAGAGCTTGGCGGGGATCCAGCTGCCCAGCACCCTGCACACATTGACGTTTGGCGACTGGTTCAACCAGAGCTTGGAGGGGATCCAGCTGCCCAGCACCCTGCAGACGTTGAAGTTTGGCGTCGCTTTCAATCAGAGCTTGCAGGGGATCCAGCTGCCCAGCGCCCTCCAGACGTTGAAGTTTGGCCACTTGTTCAACCAGAGCTTAGAAGGGATCCAGCTGCCCAGCACCCTGCAGACGTTGACGTTTGGATACGACTTCAACCAGAGCCTGGAGGGGTTCCAGCTGCCCAGCACTCTGCAGACGTTGACGTTGGGTTACAAGTTCAACCAGAGCTTGGCGGGGATCCAGCTGCCCAACACCTTGAAGACATTGATGTTTGGCTACAAGTTCAACCAGAGCTTGCATGGGATCCAGCTCCCCAGCACCCTGCAAACGTTGACGCTTGGCGACTCTTTCAGTCAGAGCTTAGAGGGGATCCAGTTCCCCAGCACCCTGCAGACGTTGACGTTTGGCGCCGAGTTCAATCAGAGGATCCAGCTGCCCAGCACCCTGCAGACGTTGATGTTTGGCAGCGAGTTCAACCAGAGCTTGGAGAGAATCCAGCTGCCCAGCACGCTGCAGACATTGACGCTTGGCCACAAGTTCAACCAGAGCTTGGAGGGGATCCAGCTGCCCAGCACCCTGCAGACGTTCACATTTGGCGACAAGTTCAATCAGAGCTTGCAAGGGATCCAGTTACCCAGCACCCTGCAGACGTTGACGTTTGGTAGCGAGTTCAACCAGAGCTTGGCGGGGATCCAGCTGCCAAGCACCCTGCAGACGTTGACGTTTGGCGTCGCGTTCAACCAGAGCTTGGCGGGGATCCAGCTGCCCAGCACCCTGCAGACGTTGAAGTTTGGCTACATGTTCAACCAGAGCTTGGAGGGGATCCAGCTCCCCAGCACCCTGCAGACACTGACGTTTGGATATGACTTTAACCAGAGCTTGCAGGGGATCCAGCTGCCAAGCACCCTGCAGACGTTGACGCTTGGCCACAAGTTCAACCAGAGCTTGCAGGATATCCAGCTGCCCAGCATGCTGCATACGTTGACCTTTGGCGGCACGTTCAATCAGAGCATTCAGGGGATCGAGCTGCCCAGCACCCTGCAGACGTTGAAGTTTGGGCACAAGTTCGGCCAGAGCTTGGAGGGGAACCAGCTCCCCAACAGCCTGCGGAGGATCGAGCTTCCGTTGTTTTGTGTTGTGACCTCGGAAGAGGCACAAGACGAAGGGTATGCCTGAATGACATGACCACGAAAACCTTGAGCCAAATCACACCCCACCCCCTTGGACCCGAAGATCTCACAAAAGCCCCTAAGCCGTGTAAACCCTAAACCCTAAACCCTAAACCCTAAACCCTAAACCCTAAACCCTAAACCCTAAACCCTCTTAGGGCCTGGGTTGCGGGTAGATGATCAGAACCGTACATCCCCGTAGGGCGTGGGGATCCAGGAGCCCTTCAACCCTTAAATGCAGGGAATTAGACCGTTGGCTTGGCCAAGAACCCTAAACCCTAAACCCTAAACCCTAAACCCTAAACCCTAAACCCTAAACCCTAAACCCTAAACCCTAAACCGGGTTTAGGGTTCAGGGTTTACGGTTTAGGGTTTAGGGTGCCCTCAGTAGCCTTTTTCAATCCCTATGCGAACCCTTTCTATGCCCTTATAAGGACTTAGAAGTTGGAATAATGATAAGTCCTTGAACACTAAGAATTGGTTTAAAATGGTTTCAGTAAACTGAAGCTATGAACACAAAAGTGCTTCAAGTAAATTACATAAACATAAATGGAGAACCAAGGGACATCATCTTCACTGGTGCAGTTAGCGCAGCTTGGGTTTTGGGTTTTGAGTTTTGGGTTTAGGGTTTAGGGTTTAGGGTTTAGTGTTTAGGGCTGAAGGCCCCCGAATCCCGAGCTCAAACATGTAAGCTTCATCTCGCCAAGGTGCTTCCGCTGCACGCTGATCCAGCCTGCAATTTCGAGGAGGACAAGGCAAGCCTTACATCTCAGGGTTCAGGGTTTAGGGTTTAGGGTATAGGGTTTAGGGTTTAGGGAGATGGTCCTTTAACATGGGCCCTTGAAAGGGGACCCCTTGTATACCCCTTTATATACCGTATAAGAATTTTTAGGGCCTTTACTCAGAACCCTTTAAAGGAGGTAAGGGACCATAATAAGGGCCCATGAAACTACCTTTAAATTAAACCCGAAACCGCCCAGGTGTCACTCTGCACCCTACAGCCCGAAATTCTAAGGGAAGTGGGTTTAGGGTTTAGGGTTTAGGGTTTTTGGGTTTTTGGGTTTTGGGTTTAGGGTTTAGGGTTTAGAGGTCCCTGAATGTGGGTCCCTGACCTTCTGTAAAGGGTTCTGAAGTACGGGCCCTTGGGTTTGTTGAGTATACAAGGGATATATAAGGGTTCCCCAAATTAAGGGCCCACATTAAGGGACCATGTAATTACCCTAAGATAATATAGGTTAGGTTTTGTACGGCTCCTCACACTCCAAGCGGAGTGAATGGAACTGTGGGGAGTGGGGTAAATGCTGACGAAATCCAAGACGCCCGGCCCATTACAGGCTTCAGGGTTTAATCTGCCGAAACCCTAAACCCACCCTAAACCCTAAACCCTAAACCCTAAACCCTAAACCCTAAACCCTAAACCCTAAACCCTAAACCCTAAACCCTAAACCCTAAACCCTAAACCCTAAACCCTAAACCCTACACCCTAAACCCTAAACCCTAAACCCTAAACCCTGGGGTTTAGGGTTCGCCCTCGGGCCCGAGCCGCCGCGTCAGGCTTTGTGTGCTGGTGTTGCCTGTGCTCCCACCCTGACAACCTTAGGGTTTAGGATTTAGGGTTTAGGGTTTAGGGTTTAGGGTGTACTATTCTCAGCTCTGAGGTACTTGTATATTGGGGTGCTTGTCTTGTTCAATGACGTTTAGGGTGTGGGGTTTTGGGGGTTTAGGGTTTAGGGTTTAGGGTTTAGGGCTTTAGGGTTTGGGGTTTGGGGTTTGGGGTCCTTCATAGGGATTTATGATAGGGGAGGAGGGGGGGTACTTATAACACCTAATTATTCAGGCTACTCGTAGTATAAGGGGGAACATCCCGACTTACATAGGTTCACGCCCACAACCTCGTTCCATTTTTATCGTTCCTTTTGGGTCAAATGTTTTTGGGGAGCAACCGACATCCCCAAACCCGAAACCGGAAGATCCTTCGGGCAACCCAACATACGACCCTAAGCAACCCTAAGCCCTAAACTCTAAACTCTAACCCCAGGCCCTAAGCCCTAAGCCCTAAACCCTAAACCCAAACCTTAAACCCTAAACCCTAAACCCTAAACCCTAAACCCTAAACCCCTACATGCTTGATCAGGTGCTGGAGTTGAGGAGGTGGCTGGGCAACGTCGCCTTGTTCTTCAGTGAGACAAGCGACAAGGCCCTTCAGGTTTAGGGTTTAGGGTTTCGGGTTTCGGGTTTCGGGTTTAGGGTTTCGGGTTTAGGGTTTAGGGTTTAGGGTTTACCTAGGGTTTAGGGCGTGAGAATGCTTTTAAGGTTCCCTTCTTCGTTGTAAGTGCATCTTGTTCAGGAATCTTCATCCGAGGGCTTAAGGGCCTTTGGTGGATTCATGACGAGCGAAATGGGGTTTTACCTGCCAGATGGCATTTGGAGATCCATGAGCAGTCTAAACCCTAAACCCTAAACCCTAAACCCTAAACCCCAAACCCCAAACCCCAAACCCCAAACCCCAAACCCCAAACCCCAAACCCTAAACCCTAAACCCCAAACCCTAAACCCTAAACCCCACACCCTAAACCCTAAACCCTAAACCCTTAACCCTAAACCCTAAAAACCCTAAAAACCCTAAAAACCCTAAAACCCCGAAAACCCCTAAAACCCTGAACCCTGAACCCTGAACCCTGAACCCTGAACCCTGAACCCTGAACCGTAATCTATATGTAACACAAGCAGATCTTAACCTCAGGCCGCAACAACAAATCTTGAAATGCCTTGGGCCCGAGACCTTCCTTGCTGAGCGCTGCTTCGGATGTGTAGGGTTTCGGGTTTAGGGTTTGGGGTTTAGGGCTTAGGGAGAATTTAGGGTTTAGGGTTGAGTTTAGGGTGCAGGGGTGCAGGGTTAGGGTTTAGGGTTTAGTTTTTCTTCCCACCCTACTTAAAGGATCCAGGGACATAGAAAGTGGGGCTATAAGCAAGGTAAGCATACTTCTAATTACTTATAAGCCCAACTAAGGTACTTACAACCCTACTTACCAAGTGCCCCGATCCTCCAAGCAAACCCGAAACCCTAAACCCTAAACCCCAAACCCCAAACCCGAAACCCTAAACCTTAAACCCTAAACCCCAAACCCTAAACCCTAAACCCTAAATTCTGCTTTCTTGGACCCAAGCTGCGCACCAGGGATCCTCCCGGCCTTTGCTGGAGCTGTGGCGATGCGAACGAGGACGACATGCTTGAGGGGGCTTGGGGGTTGGGGGGTTGAGAGTTTCTGGGGTTTAGGGTTTAGGGATTTAGGGTTTAGGGTTTGGGGTTTAGGGTTTAGGGTTTGGCTTCAACCATGGCGTGTTCGTATCATCTGAGGGCATCATTCAAGTTTCATTTCGACTGCCTGGTCCTTGCCATGCACCCTCAATACCAGCCCCAGGGTTTAGGGTTTAGGGTTTAGGGTTGAGGGTTTAGGGTTTAGGGTTTAGGGCTTAGGGTACTTATAGCCCAATTCCAACTGTACTTATAACCCACTTATGAGCCCTTTTGAGTGCCCTAATTGTGGTGATATTTGGGTTCTAAGTACAGCTGTAACTGGGTTCTGAAGTGCCATGAACCCCCCTAGACCCTAGCACCGTAAACCATACTCAGCCCTGACTAGGGTTTTAGGGTTCAGGGTTGATATACCTTTGTACCCTAAACCCTAAACCCTATTAAACCCTAAACCCTAAACCCTAAACCCTAGACCCTAGACCCTAAATCCTAAACCCTAAACCCTAAACCCTAAACCCTAGGGGTCATGTCCGAATTCTTGGGGAGAAAGTCTTGGGCGAACGTTTCGGTTCTTACTTTGGGGGGGGCCTTTGGCAAGCATTCGATGCTTTTTTTTTTGGGGGGGAGGGGGGGGGGGGGGGGGGAGGGTTTGTTTAGGGTTTAGGGTTTAGGGTTTAGGGTTTAGGGTTTAGGGTTTAGGGTTTAGGGTTTAGGGTTTAGGGTTTAGGGTTTAGGGTTTAGGGTTTAGGTTTAGGGTTCAGGGTTTAGGTTCAGGGTTCAGGGTTTAGGGTTTAGGGTTTAGGGTTTAGGGTTTAGGGTTTAGGGTTTAGGGTTTAGGGTTTAGGGTTTAGGGTTTAGGGTTTAGGGTTTAGGGGGCCGGGTCGGACTTGCAGCACTGGCTCTCCGGCGTCGTTGGGTTTTTAGGGCTTAGGGTTTGCGGTTTAGGGTCCAGGGTTGATAGAAATTGTGTAGGGTTTGGGTCCCAATAAGTTTTGACCGAAAGTTTTGACCGAAACGTTTTGAAAGAATTTTCTTTTTGGAGCAACCTCTTTGTTCCTGGTGGCCCGATAGTAGCGATTGAAAGGCTCGTTGGCCTCCCCGCCTCTTCGCGCGGCAATAGTAGCGACCAGTACATCAACTTTGCGGAGCTGCTTTCCATGCAGAACCTGAAGGGAAAGGTGGATGGTTGCTCTCAAAGGGCCAGCCTGAGAGCCCTTCAGAATGTGAGTCACGACGACAGGCTTCGAACGGCTCTCATGTTCTCCGCCTTGGCACGCAATGTAGCTGGGCTGCAGCACTGTCTGTTCCATTCTTGTGACCTGCTTGATGCATATACAGACGCATGCTCATAGAAGCCATATCTGGAGCACAATCAGCAGCATCAGCGTTGTCTAGTCATTTTCAATACCTTTTCTGTATCTCAACTGGTCTTCCTGCCTTCTGTCTCAATTTTACTTACACACATGATAAACGACTACAACGACTAGAAGGCTTCCAGTCCCCATCAGTCAGCTGATGTACAGATGAGCCTAAACCCTTAACCTTAAATGGAGGGTTTGGGTAGAGGGTTGGGACTAGGGAGGGCTACGGGGGAAGGGGTCTGGGGGGGGTTTTCGAGGCCTTGAAGCTCTCAAAACTCTCAAGAGGCTCAAGAGCGCCTGTTTGGAGGACCCTAAGCTCACAACCTCAAGAGATGGCTCCCAATTAAGTTCCCGAATGACCCAGCCTGTTTTGGAGGCCCCTGAAGCCCC